TGTCCCTTTCTCCCCTCTCCTGTTTTCTACACTATCTCTGTTACAAGACCTCTTGCACGTGGAGCTGTGGAAATCATAGAGTAAGAAAGAGCTGGAAGTCTGCAGACATACAGATCTGCTCATCTATCTTCAAGAAAGATGATGAATTCAAAACTGCAGAGAGCACCGCAGAAGCATCATGAGGCAGCTGTTCTTGTTCAGCCTAGCAAAACGGAGCCTGAGAGAACCTGACTGCCTTTGATTAGTGTAACGAGTTGGTATATAGCCAGGAGAGAGCATGGCTAAAGGACAATGCTGGCACAAGTAGAAAGGAATAAACAGTGGCTTGAAATACATTTAGACTGGAAATTAAAGGAAGCTTTCTAGCAATTAGAATGGGTCCTTTCTTGAATAGAATTTTAGTAGCAATAGCAGGAATAAAAACCAGAGCTGGTTAAATCTGGAGTTTATTAAAGGATTTGTATGAGTTGACCACCTGCATCAGCACAGTCAATGAGTCCAAAAAAGAGACAAAAGACACCTTGTCTTGCTGTGTGTCCCATGTTTCTGAATGACAACTTCCTGGGTTTTGATTAATCAAAACACAGCTCTCTGCATAGGCTGGAAAGGAAACTCATGATTCTCAAAACTCTTACTGAGTCATCCTGCAAAAGACAACAAATCATACGTTATTTCCAGCTTCCATTTTACGTAGTGTTACTGCAATGAGTTGTGCTCATCTTCCAGGAGAAGGGAGCTTTGCAGCTGGTGTAGATTATGTGCTTGTGCTGCAGGACTACTGATTTTCTGTGAGCTAGCTTCATGTCACTGCCCTAGCTGTCGAAACAAAAATACCAGTACTCTATGACAAAATCCTGGGGTAGAAATGCTTTGGCCATCAGTTCCTTAGAAGTTCACAAAATTAAAGAAAAAATTATTGTATTATACAACCTAGTCATGTATGGCTTGTGAAACTATGTCCAGGATTTTCATAGGTCCGTTTGGTCCAGAGTTTGCAAAAGGTCCCACATTTAGTTTCCAAAATAAGTTGTCTGGTTTTCCAGTACATATGGCACACTGGCATCTTTCTGAAAGTCTTTGAGACTTGATGAGTCCCCACAAGAGCAGTTACCTACTGAGTACTTTGTAACTGTGACAATCGTTTAGGTGTTTACATGGGAATACAGCTTTCTCAAGAATCTGTCCCCAGTCACAATTTCTGGGAACAAAAAGATCTGGTCTGAAAGTGAACTTTCTTGAAAATCTGGCCTTTGGAAAATTTATTCTGAACATAAACATATTATTGATCTGAATGTTTAATGAGACATTAACATTTGCTTTGGTTTTGTATTTAAAGGGTAATTTATAGGCAGGTTGCTTTTACAGCAGATATCTTGATCAAGGCAGCAGTGGATAAAAGATATTCCTATCTGATGGTCTTTTGGAGACCTTCTGTTAAAAGGTCAGTTCATGATGAACATATGTCTTAAGAAAAACAGCGGCAATAAAAATACATTGCGTCTGGTACTGAGGTACCTGGGGGATTGACTTGAGCAAATAGATGGATCTGAACTGATTCAGATGCCTCCTTGTTTTGGCAAAAGATGCAAAAGAAAGAGCAGGCATGAAGACCAAGGGTCCACATTCAAGCAGAATCATGTTAAGGAGGTATAATTACAACATAATTGTATCTCGAGCCATTTGCAGACATCAAACCACCCCTGTCACTGTTCAAGATCAGGCCACTGTTGCTGTTATTAGTTATTTGTATTACTACGGTACTTATGTATATACCAGGAATTTATTGTAGTGTCTTACATAAATGCAGAAAACCACAAGAAAGTTCCAATGGACTTGAAGTAAAAGAGAGGACACTGTGGTTAGGCACTGAAAAACAAGAGGGGACCAGACCAGGATAGCAAGCACAATGCCATCAGCCTAAAAATTGCCAGGTTTGGCATCACAGCAGAGGGGAATTTGAGAGGGAGGACAGTCAGTGAACGTGCACAAAGCCTCAGGGGTATCAGAGGAAAAGCAATGAGAAGCATCAGCTTCAAAACTTGGCTTGTCTCTGGCAAAAGCTAATACAATGGACTGGTCAAGTAGGAACAGGAAATCTGTATCTCAAGAGTAAATGAGAAACAATACTTTGGGCAAGATCAGGCTGACACTGAGAGCAGTCATGTTTGTATCTGATGAGATAAAAAAGATGAAGCTAACAAAGATAAAAACAACAAAGCTAAGAAGCTGCCAAGAGGAACAATATGGTCAAAGGCAATCATCTTCACCACAGCTTTCCTCATATCTATGAGCCAAAAGCAGATTCATTGGTCAAGGCCAAGAGAAAGCCATATACATAATCATGGGGCAGTCAAGGCTTGATGAGAGCTGTCTGAGCAGATTGGATGCTGCTGTGCAGAAAGAGTCTGCCAGTGTTTGGTATGATGGAAAGAGCTGTCCTAGATAAAGATGATATCCCAGTGATGGCAAGGTATTTCAGTTAAAATTGATGTTATATAATTGCCAGTTTTAATCACAACTGAAGTCTGCAAGCAGGAACTTTGATGTGAATGAACTGTTCCAATTTTAGTTTTCTTTTATAGTTTTTAGTTATTTCTCTAAAGAAAATTTGGAAATTATTAGTTGGTTGTCACTATGATGTGTGTGTTTGCAACTAAGTAAAGCTTTAGCCTTTTATTTTGTACTTTTTTTCCTGAATCAGAAGATAAAGTCTAATACATATTATTTAATCAGTTATATAGTTTAATGCAGATTGACTGAGGTTCTAAATAATTGCATTGTATTACTTTATGGTGAATATGATGGTGTATTTTTTTTTACTAGGTTATCGTTCTCTTTTTAATATTTTCTCTACTAATATGACTGGAAACAAAACACAGTAATGGTGTATGAGTACAGAAATTTAAAATTCTTCCTTACTTGTAAATACAGTTTTAGCATGCTGGACCCATAAGTAAAAGGTATATCAAATAATTGTTTGCACTTAAAATTCTGTCTGATCATCATGTCCTTCAAGATCTTCAAAATACAAAATCTTATCTTCTCTTGCCATATTTGTTATTAATAGAATTAAAGTTTTAAAATGTCCTGCTTTTTCAGAATTAAATCACTTTTTCAGCTTTGAATTAAGGTAGGTAGAATTTCACAAGAAGATGCTTTTTGCTATAAAGAAGAGAGCAAAATGTAACAAATAGGTATGTTTCTTCCTTCTTCCAAAGTCTTTCTCTGGTCCAGAGTTCTTTCTTTGGGAAACAAAGAGTCAGTACAAGAATCTGTGCTCAAAAGAATCTGTTTGAAGGCTGTAAAAGGTTGCTATGCAATGGTTCTTGCAAAACATTAGCAAAAACATGTTAGTCTATAATGGACTGGAAATAAAGGAGGAAGACACTGGACAGTTAGTGTTAATTCCTTCAATTCATGAAGAGATATAAGTGTGCATGTTGCTTTTAATAACTGCAGGTGATGCATTAGATTCATGTTAACAAGCCTTAAGCTAGAGGTTGAAAAGGCTTTGTTTCTGAAATGAAGAATGTCATTGTTGTCCAACACATTGTTTGTTTTTCATCTACTAATCTTAAAATTAAAAGGTGCTGCTTATCTCTTGGGAATCTTTTACACAGGAAGGAAGAGAGCAGGGAATGGACAGGAGAGGCAGGAACGTCCATTGAATCTGTGCAAGAAATGAACTGGTTTCCTCTCAGGTGATAAAAGAGACTGTTAGAAGTCCTTGCAATATTTGCTTGGTTCCTTTCTTCCCCAACCACTGTAGGGGTTTTGGGTTTTTGTTTTGGTTTGGTTTTTGTTTTTTTTTTTTTTTCAAATAAAGCCCATATGATTCTGATGGTATATTCTTGCTTTTATAATACCCTTTTTCTGGAATGTTTGGGAAGGCTGTCTTGACACCAAATGGGCACAGAGCTGGTGTAGTTGAATAAGAAAAGATTCCCATCTGGGAACAGTTAGTCTTACAACCATTATGTTGCAAAATGTTATGTTGACTATAAATGGCTCGCCTACATTAACATTACAGTTGGCATTAGGCGTGCACTTTTGAAGTGAATTTCCTGGTCATCCCCACTTACCCTTCTTTGATTTGCAGAACACACAAGCTAGGTTTCTTTTGAATGAAACTAAGCCAAAAGATGTATCCAGGAATTTGTGCTCCCACCACTACTGGGATGCAGTCTACAGAACTAGGCTGAAGCTAGTTCAAAGTCAAGTCTCCTGAAATACACATCGTGGACATTGGGTCCTCATTGCTACCTCTTTATCTCTACAGAGCCATTCCTGTTGCATGACACAGTGCAGATACAGTCCAAATTTCCACTGACTGAGGAACTGCTAAATCTTGAAAGTGCAGTCTTCTAACAGTACCCAGAGAGCTTTCAGGAGAGGAGAGCGTTCCCATGGCAGATGATATCCTATTTGATTTAGCTTCATTTCTTTCTGAAGAGTAGAAATACCCTGGGGAAGATATCCAAAATAAAGCTGCTATGAGCAAGCAGTCTGCAGTTTAGGAGAATAATGGGTTGCTTCAGGGGAAAATTTCATCTGCATAGCCATATTTGAACCCATGGCTGAGAGAATTGCCTGTTCACATTCAGATTCACATGAATCTGAGTTTTATAGCATGTTGATCTCAGAGGGCTGGAAGGAAGCCGAGGGAATTTGTTAGAGGAGTAAATGGCATTTCCCATGTTTAGTTTGCAGCAAGCAGTCTAGCTGGTGATACTGAACGTTAAGGATGGTCCTTGGAGGTCTAGAATAGATGAGACTGAGAGAAGTGTCAGCCAAAAATCTTGAATGAGAAGGACCTGAATTGAGAGAGACGGTAATTTTTTTCTGAGATAATACTTCAATAAGAGGCAAAAGGTGAAGAAGTCTCTCCTGATTCCCAAGAGTTCAAGCAGCAAAAAGTAGTCATTGTTATCGGGTTTGCTGTTGAATGTATGTGACGTATGTCTGTGTCAGTTGGCTTCTGTTCACTTTCTTACCTGTAGAGAGCACTACTGATCACTGCCCAGAAATACCGACATCCCATGCTCCACCACTAGCCAAGCCTAAGCCTAAATCTAAAAAAGTTCCGCTGCCACCAAAAAATGCTACTGCTGCTTCCACCACCACCAGCCATAAAAGTAACGAAGCACCTCATGCTAAAAAAAAGGGAAAGGCTCCTGCTAAGCAGCCTCCTCTCCCACCACCCAAGCCAACAAGTCACAGTGCAAATCGAGAAGCTGGTGAGTACTGCACAGGCAGTGCCAGTTATGGCGGGTGCATGTGCATGGGGATGCTTGGCTTGGTCTTCTGAAAACTTCTGCCTCTGTACATAGCAGCATTACTAAAGAGCATGCCACGGATG